CAGACAGTCCTACGGGGATACCCATCGCAGCATTATTTGTAACAGAGAAAAATTCAAATAATTTAACAGTCCATAGGGGAAGAGCAAAATGAACTTGAGGTACATTCATACTACAAAACAGGCGGAGCGCGGTGGCTCACCCTGTCATCCCAGCAGTTTGGGAGGCTGAGGCGGTCGAATCACCTGAGGTCAGGAGTTTGAGACCAGCCTGGCCAACATGGCAAAACCCCGTCTCTATTAAAAATACAAAGATTAGCCGGGTGTGGTTGCGGGTCCCTGTAATCCAGCTACTTGGGAAGCTGAGAGGCAGGAGACCCTCCGCGCCGGCCCTTGGATGGCCTCCTTACTTTGGTGAGTTAAGCACTCTTGCTGCCAGCCCGCCCCCAGCTCGGATCGTTCATGAATTGTCCCCCAAGGTTCCCAGGTCCACGGACGATTGTCACAAATCAATATGGATAAAGGCAGTTGAATGCTGGAGCTGAGCTTGGACTTTGCGATAACATCCCTTTGGAAACAGTCCCTGGAGCAAAACACCAGATGCCATCTTAAGCATGTCCGGGTTCCGGCTTGGCAAAAATCCCTGAAGGGACAAAACAGATGCCAACTAACATGGACATGGTCCGGGCTTGGCAAAAATTTCCCTGCGGGAGACAAAAAACAGGATGCCACCTGTAACATGGTTCAAGGATTGGCAAAAATCCCTGAGGAACAAAAATAGATGTTTACTTGCCTGGTGTCGGGCACGGGAGTAGTCTGACTTTTTCATTTACTTATCAATCTTTATATGGTCTTAGTTACCTAAAAAATACATGGACTACGGGCAAGGTGTCGAGTGGGCTCACGCCTTCGTAATCCCAACCACTTTGGGAGGCCAAGGCCAGGTGGATCACCTGAGGTCAGAGTCAGGACCAAGCCTGGCCAACATGGCAAAACCTCGTCTCTAATAAAAATTCAAAAGATTAGGCCGAGCGTGGTGGGCGCGTAGCCCTCTAGTCCCAAGCTCCTTGGAGGCTGAGGCAACACGGTGGACTTCCCCTCTAAAGAAAAAATAATAAAACACCAAATACATTCATGGCCAAAATTCAGAACAACATTAAGAATATCTACCATATACCCTCTCCTCCTCAACTGTTCCGCAGTTATCCTTTTAGGAACTTGTTCTATGTATCTTACCTATATTACACCACCTGTCCGATATATAAAGCTATTTTTTTACATTAGGTGTCCATACTCTGTATTATTCTGTAACCTATGTACGTAACAAACATTCTGAAACTGTAACCACGTTCCATGTCGGTTGACTCTACTCTTTTTCTTTTTTTTTTTTAAAAAAATACCTTTGCTGTAGGCCATTTTTTTTTTTTTTTTGTTTTTGAACAGAGTCCTCATTCTCAAATCTGTCCCGCCCAGGCTGGAGTAACAATGGTGTAAACTGGTTGGTCACTGCAACCTGTGGCCTCCCGGGTTAAGCAAT